GTTGGCAAGAGCCGTTCGGAAAACGAGCCCACGGATGAATTACTGATGCATGCTTGTAAAGCAGGTGCAGAAAATTAAATGGTAATGTTATTTGAACGTGCGATCACCTCCTTGTTCTCGGGGAGGTTGCAAAAGTTAATTACGGTGTAGTTGTTCGCAGTACGTGTGACTGACAGAATAGCTCTGATGGTGAACAAGGTGCCTTGAGAAAATAATGGCAAAAATTGCATCTTACGTATGTGATGGGTTTTTTCTTATGGAAAATGTGGTTAGAAAAGTAACTGTCTTTTCTGTGTTTCGTAAAATTCACGTGCAGTCAGTCTAGAAGAAGTGCCAGTACTATCTTTGGAGAACAAAACATACGTTACTGAAGTCACAGAGTCTTTTTCTGAGATTTAAACAGTAAATTCAATATAGACTGCTCTAGGCACTCATATATTCTGCAAAGCAGTGAAATACTGCATTTTGGTTATTTTTGCACTTAAAATGAAACAATTGAATGTTGTCCTTGTTTGATTTGAAAACTGCTTCAGCAGCCACTGCCAGTGTTGTGACACGGAACAGTGTACTTAATATATTTAAAATAGAAAATCTGGCAGAAAAATAAAAGGAAATGAGTTGTTACTAATGAAATTAAAATGTAGTGTCTTGCGTCTCCAAGCTAATATCTTTAAGTTGTTACTTTTGATTTTAATAAAGAACTGAAGTAGTATATTTGTCATTTATTTCTAGACATACGTAAGCCTCTTTTTGTAGGTCCTTACAATGGATAAATGATACAGTTTGCGTGTGACTAGAAACTTCCTCTTTTCTTCACAGTTGAGGAATTCTTGTTGGTAGTTTTCTGATGGGGTGAGGGGGAAAGCAGAAGAAGAAATTGTTCTGAGAATGATTATTTTCTCTTTCAGATTTGTAGCTGATTGTTCACATGTGTCCAGGGGGAGATGAAGTACGTTGGATCCTGCATAGTTTGGCTTTGTATGGCAGTCTTCCTCGTCCTTCCTGTTTCTGCTTCTGCAGCTGTCAGTGACCAGACAGGTAGTTCCATTTTTCTTTTCCATCACAGACCAAAGGCATAAATCTCATCATTGACTAAATCTGAACAAGTAACGACAGTACCTGGGAAATAAGCAGTATGAGCAGATAAAAGTATTTTTTTTCTTTTTTTTTTTTCTTTTTTTTTAAGTCTAAGTCTGAACCAACCTCTAAGCAGCCTTTTTGCTTCCTGTGCTTGGAAGACTCATGTCTGGAAGCAGTTGTATCTGCTAGTACTTTTGTTCTGTACTTCTTCAATTTACTACACAAAACAAGATTCACAAAGTTCTGCAAGCTCTGATTTAGAACAAAATCATGTGGCTTTAGTAGAGCAGACCAGTGATCACATGGACCTAAACAACCTAATTCTTGTGTTAACCTCACCTAAACTGAATCCCCACAGCAGGTCGTACATTTCACAGATAGACAAAACCTTGTGCCTAAGAAGGCAGGGGAAAGGAATATAGTGATATTGTTGAACTTAAAAGCTGTTACCTGACTTCTGCAAATTTTCTCATACTTCTTATTTTTCTTCTTTCTCTTCCTAACCATGTTATCTAGCTCTCACACTTAAGCATTGACTCTCAGAGTGAGGTAAATTCTGTCTTAAAGGCACATCATGTGTGCGTGTAGAATAACGAATGGTCAGTTTTCTAGAATAGCTCAGCCTCAGCACGTACTACACTATGCAGAGTTTTTCTACAATTATTAGCAAGGAGAACATACCTGTTGTTAACTAGAAATAATTCTTTTTCATTATTTTTTTGAGAAAATTGAATTGATTTTTAGTAAAGCTGCTTTTCCAGAAATTTTATGAAAGGTAATAGAAGCTATACATAGCACCTTTTAATCTCACGTTTGAAACTCAGGCCCCAAATTTTTAAAGATCAATGACTAGCATAATAATCCTTTTACTACTTCTCAAAACAAGAAACAGTAATATTTAATAAATAATAAGTGTAACATGTGGGCTCTAAAGTGAGAATAATGTGTTGTGAAGAGTCTGAATTGAAGTCAAAGCCTTTTTTTTTTCATTAGATTTTTAGGGCAGGAAGGCTAAGTGCTCTACTAATGAATTATTCTTAACCTCTGTGAGAGTGTGAGCCTACATCAGAGCTGTACGAGCATTCTCTTCAGCTGTTTGAAAGAAGCAAAACAGGTTGTTTTCTCTGTCATTGCTAGCTGGTGGGTTGTAGAAGGGAAATCTTAAAAGTGCTAAAAGGATTGTGAGTACAGAAGGTTCCCTAATAATATAAATGAGTAAGTGGAAATGTGAAAAATTCCTAAACAAAATGCCAGGAAGCATTGTCTCATTTCTTTTTACATTCCTTTTTTTTTTTTTTTTCCCCCCCCCTCCTAATGAATAGGTATCTAAGTAATAGGTGGACCATTCATAGAAGATGTGACAAATACACTCAACTGTTAATAAACAGTGTATCTGAACTGAACATTAGTTTGTGCTAGAAGTTTGTGGCTAGGCAATCAGCAGAGAAGTTGCACTCTTCTTTAACCTGATAGCCACAAGTGGATCAAATATGGGTCAAACTGAACCACTGGGAAGAAGGGAGGAGACTGAACCTCTCCTGAGAATAACTGATGGTGTACAATTGAGAGAGGTTTCTGCAGATTGAGGTGATACAGGCAGATGGTGAGGAATAACAAGTAGATAGCTGCCAGCTTGAACAGCTCTGCCAACAGCAGGGAATAGGCTCAGAGTGAAGCCTCAAGTTGTTAACAGGAAATAGACTCTTCTAGAGACTGAAGGGATGGTTACTGTCCAAAAAAAGAAATACAAGTTGTAGACTATAAAGCAGGAGCTGAGAAAGAAGGGAGCCTGGGACAGTGCAGCGGTGAGGGGTACAGGTGTCTGCAAGCCTTTTGCTGATCTGCCCTGTTCAGCCGAACCAGCCACGCTCTGTGTTGCAAAATTGTCTTGTTCTAACTTGATAATTTGCATGCAGATGAATCTGTTACAAATTAGAAATGCGCTCACTTTAAGAAGAGAGGAATTTCAAGCCTGGGTTTTTCATTTCCCTTCTTTCATTAACTGGCTCTTTGTTGACCCTTTGTTCTCTCCTGTCTATCAGTTCGGTTTGGATCGGCATCCGTCCTTCAGGATCTGCCTAGGCAATCCTTTGGGTTTTCCTTCTTCAAAAATATATGCATAGAATTTGTTTCTCACTGCACTAATATGAAAACTTTTCCAGCAAGGCCCATTTAGGTAGGATCTCGGATTATTGTGTTTACATCCTGAAATTTCTAACCTGATTGACTCAAGTCTAAAGGAAGGGCCGTCGAAGGGTAGGGAAAAGTAAATCAAAGTTAATTAGAATGGGGGGCAGTGGGAAGAAGTGTGTTAGGGGAAGGAAATCTCTCGTGCAAGAGAAAGGATTAACTTGTGTGCATACATAAGGAAGAGCTTTCTGAGCTGGCATTCTGAATATACTTTGGGACTTAGTCATTGGGTCAATATTGTAATAAATAATTAACAGTATTGGAAAACAAATGTCAGAGAGTGACAGAGTATGCTGGATCTTCTTGGAGTTCTGGATCTCCTTGGGCTCTGAGCATGTGCCAGTAACTGTTAGGTTCACATCAAGGATTTCTTTCAGCTCTCACTTATCCAGAAGTTTTGATACACTAATTGTTCATCATAAGAAAGCACTCAATTCTAATGACACAACATAGCAAATCTGAGGGAGAGCGTTTAGTTTTCCACAGTCATGTTTTTGATCTGACTTCAGGAATATTTTCTTCATGTTGTCAACTTATATTATTTTTATAGTTGGGAACATTTGGTTTTGGAGTGTAGACGTGAGCTCGTTCTGCAGTGACATACTAAGTTCTAATTTGATCGTTCCTGAATGCTCCATATTAAGAATATTAATGCTTTGTCTCATTCCCAGATTGTTGCTGCTTTTTCAACTTTCTTTTACTGTTTTTCAAAGTCACTTGCTAACCCATGAAAAATGTAGTATAAACAAAGTCCTGGGACTGTCAAGCATGGTGAATTTCCATTGCCTTTTGACGTGGAATGTGTTGTAAAAAGTCTTGGCTCTAGATCACAATTTTAGATAGGCGCTTTAACCCAAATACAGTGGGTGTTTTCAAGTATGCAAATCAGTTCAGCTTTTTGATTTTCAGGCTTTAGTAGAGTTAGATGCTTATCAAATTGAAGATAACGGCTCTACAATAACTCATATACAATGTATTCATATTCTTAATAATCTAATTATTTAAGGTTGGATCCACTAACTGTTGTTAGTGTTGTGCTGTTTAAGTGACACTGCTGTGCTTTGATACCTTAACTTGTAGTTAAATACTAAGTCTTCTTGGGCAGCCAGAAAGGAACTTCAGATATCTGTAAGACTGTGGTTCATGAAAGCCTGCACGCTGTGGAGAGCTGCTTCAGCTAGTGAGTAAGTAGTAGACAAGAAAGATCTCACACCACTAAATGGATAAATCTCAGCTGCACACGTTCTCCCATTGTGAAGCCTATAAACTAGATCAGTCTTTTTTTTTTTTTGTCTTTTTTTTTTTTTTTTATGAAATGGTAGAGAAATTAAAAAACAAAAAAATGCATAAACTCCTACAGCCAAGCTATTCATCTGGGATATCATAGAACCATAGAACAGTTTTGGTTGGAAGAGATCTTCAAAGATCATCTAGTCCAGTCGCGCTGCAGGGACGTCTTCCACTAGATCAGGTTCCTCAGAGCTCCATCCAAGCTGACCTTAAAGGTTTCCATGCATGGAATATCTACCACCTCTCTGGGCAACCTGTTCCAGTGTTTGACCACACTCATTGAAAATAATTTCTTCCTTACAACCAGTTTAAATCAACCCTTTCTTATTTTAAGAACATTACCCTTTGTCCTATCACAACTGAAAACTGCTAAAATATTTTGTCCCCATCTTGCTTATAAGTCCACTGTATGTATTTAAATAAGGCTTCCCTGGAGCGTTCTCTTCAAGCTGAACAACTCCAGTTCTCTCAGCCTGTCCTCATAACAGAGGTGTTCTATCCCTCTAACCATTTTTGTGGCCCTCCTCTGGACCAACTTCAACAGGTACATATCTTACCTGGGCTGAGTTCTCCAGAGCTGGACACAGTATCTGGGTGGGGTCCTACAAGAGCAGAGTAGAGGGACAGAATGACCTCCCTTGACCTGCTGGCCACACTGCTTTTGACACAGCCCAGCATGCAGTTGGCCTTCTGGGCTGCAAGCGCACAGTGCCAGCTCATGTCCAGCTTCACATCCACCAGTACCCCAAGAGCTTCTCACCAGGGCTTTTCTGAATCCCTTCATCCTCCAGCCTGGGGGGTTGCTCTGACCCAGGTGCAGGACCTTGCACTGAACATCATGAGGTTCACACAGGCCCACTTTTCAAGCTTGCCCAGGTCCCGCTGGGTGGCATCCTGTCCCTCAGTTTTGTCCACTGCACCACTCCCACTCATTTTGCTGTTGTCTGCAGCGTTGCTGAGGGTGCACTTGATTCTACTGTCTCTGTCATTAATGAAAATGTGAAACATTACTGGTCCTGATACGGGCCTCTGAGGGACACCACTTGTCACTGATCTCCGTTTGGACATTGAGCCATTGACCACTGCCCTCTGGAGGTGACCATCCAACCAAGTCATTGTCCACTGAACAAATCTATATCACTACAATTTAGAGAGAAGGGTGTTGTGGGGGATGGTGCTATAGTTCTTCCCTTGTCCAGTGATGTAGTCACTCCACCATAGAAGGCCACTAGGTTGGTCAAGCAGGACTTGCCTTTGGTGGAGCCTTGCTGGCTGTCTCAAATAATATGCAGTCTTGTTTTATGTCATTATCTACTCTTCCTCATAGGAGAATCCAGTTCTCTGGAGTCCACCATGAGCATCCTAATATTTGAACTCTATTGGTATGAATTTCTTAATCCTGCCTGCCTAAGCTGTTATTTTATTTCCATAGCCATCTAAATAGGCACCAGACTTGGAACTGACTTATTTCCTATATCAACAAAGTTTTTGATTCAGTCTCCTTTATTATTCTTCCCACCCTTAATTAATACATGTATTGTAATGTAGAATGATGTGGTTTGCAGAGTAAAAATGGGAAAAAAAAAAAAATTACATCTAGTGTTCTGATACCTCTACACATAAGGCTCCAGGTATGCAGGAAATCTCAGTTTTGGACCCTGTTTGAAAGCAGGCCAGCTGAATCTGCTTATCATCAGTACAAATACCTCTGAGGTGGACTCGGATGTCATTGCCAACACTTGTGGGTATGTTGCCCGTTCTGAGGAGTTTCCCTATGTCTATATATTTATGAAGCCTGATCCAGGAAGAGTGTGAAGCAAATCCTAGCTAATATAGGTTTCTGCTTGAAGTTTCAGTCCGACATAAGAAGTGCGTATATGTTTGCTGTGGCTGTTTGGCCACATTCATTTGGGTGATCATGCTTATTAATGGAAACTTTGGTTCGTTTGCAATGTGCATGTCAGTGGTGTTAGATGGCAGCTGAAAACATCACCTGAACTTAAAGTTTAATTATAAAGTAGCAGATAGGTACTTGTAAAGTGAATCTAGCTAGTACAAGCTACGCTTGATCTGGAGGAGTCAAGAGGTGCTTATTGGGAGCTACAGTTCCCAGTCAGGAAATGCACACAAGAGATGTCTGTAAGAGTGAGACTGAAGCATGCACCAGAGTCTCCTCCGTCCTCGTTTGCACGGAAAGGAGAACTGGGCATGGGGCCTAGAAGGAAGCCACTGTGTGCTTCAACAGGTGCCCTGGTCATTCCAGGAATGCAGAACACACCATTGCATGTTGCAGCAGACACATCTAGATGCAATGCTTTTAATTTTTTTTTTTTTTTTTGCATAATTCTATTAGAAAACAAAAATTCTTTATTAGCATCTTATTGGAGAGACAGAAGATCAGTGATCTGTGATATATCTGCTTGATCTACATAAATACATGTTTTCAAAATTATGAGGTTTATTTTAAAAACTCCTATACAGGGCTTATGGATTTCTAAAGATCAAGTTCTGTAATTTGTTCTATGGATAGTTGATCTCTTTAATTTATAGGTATGTTAACTTTGAAGTCACCATTTTAATATGAAATGTTGACTTCAATCCAGACAGACCCAGTTTTATCGTGTGCAGAGTAATCTAGTGTATAAATGTAAGCTTGTTCTTTTTACAGTTCCATTAGTTTTATAGAGGTGTATTCTAGCAGGGCAGGTAGGTGCATGGTTTCCATATCTCGATTACTAGTAAGGGTTTTTCTTGTTCTTTTTCTTTCCTGAGTGTCTTCATGAAGATCTTCTAATTCAGCTACCCATAGTATGAAGGAGTAAACTGTTTTGTCTCAGGCCAAAGAAAATTGAAAGATGTACCAGCAGTACTAAAAATCTTGGAAGACCTAACTTTTTGACTCTATGAACTATAACTGTAGAAAAAAAATTTTCATCAATCTATAGCAATGAAAGCTGTGAGTCTTGATATGGAGATGTTTTGGGTTTAATATTTTCAATTTGTGCCTTAGCTTTCTGATAAAAAGCATAACGATAGGCTGAAGGAGAGCATCAGCAGCATGAGCCAGAAGGAGATCCATAGTAACCCTTTCAGTTCTTCTGAGAGTGTGGAGTACAACCAAATATGTGACACTTAAATGGCCTGTCTATGCTATGATTGTTGTCCCACTTATAAAAGTAGGTCCATAGTCCAGTCTGAGGCATGTGAGGAATCCTTGTTATTATCTAGATAGCACAGAAATTAAGGCTTGAGTCTTTATTTGGACTTTAAAGAAAGTGGCTGGGGGGAATAAGCTAAAACTGTCTTGTCTTTCGCTACCCAGTTGTGTCCCAGGTTCTCTAGAGCTTAGTACAGCAGTTCAAGGTAAAATCAGCAGTAAGTAATATCTTGCTGCTCTTATAATAAAGTACTGCAAAGTAATTTAACCGTGAAGGGCATCTGCCTTGTAGTCTGTCAATCTCTCTCTATATTTTTTAAAAAAACTTTGATTAGAAAACACAAGGATTTAAGAAAAATATTTTCAGTGTATGTGTGTATGTCATGGGCACTGTGGCTTCATCCGTAACTGGGTTCCTTTATGCCAACATATTTCCTATAGCTACACTTTTGTAAGTCTACCATAACCACATTAATTGCTTTAGAGTGGGTATAGATAAAAATCTATAGTTTAATAATCTGCATTACTGAAGATGGAGGTTTGTAGATTAAAGGGTATCTGAGGTGAGCCTGTTTCTGTCCTGTAGTGTGTATGTATATCAGATGGTGTATTGAAATTGCTATGTTAATATGTAATTCCAGTGAGTGCTTTTCACACTACATAAAACTCCCTGCAAACCAAGAAGGATGAAAGACTTCATTTCCATTTCATGGATTTCAACATGAATATTATTTACAAGTCTGCATCTTTGCTGCAGAAAGGGCATATGCAGTGTTCTTAATGCATGTGTTTCATCTCATTTGTCTTGAGGCTTTATACTATCTGTGTATGTAAATTATGTGTGTGTGTGTGTGTGTGTACATATGTTTTTGTATATGAGGAAGGACAGAATACCTTCTCTTAGTCTTAGAAAACAATTTATTACTGATGTTACTTGTGATTGTGGATTGCAGTTTAGGTGTAGAGGACATAGAACGTGATGAATCTTATGAGAAAATGTCTTCCACTTAGTCTGTTGTTTAAACAATTGACACAGCTCTAATTAACCATGTTGTCAGGAGGTGTCATTATATCTGTATTGTATAATTTAGTTTCATTTTTACTGGTTGTTTCCAATTAGCCATTATTAATCCATATGAAATACTGTAAGGCATTTGATGGAATTTAAGACTTCTGAAGGATAATGTGCTTTCTACACTACTACAGAATAAAATTTCACATGCTTTTAGCTTACAAGTACAGCTATTTCGAATGGCAACTTTCAGTGTGGATGCTCTTGGAAATCTTTAAATATAGATGATTTCCAGGCTAATGGTAGGACATTCCTCCTTATTTTTTTTTCATTGAACTGACACTCCAGAAAGCCCATTGATCTCCAATGTTCAGCAGCTTCAAGTAAACCTCAGTCATCTCTTTAGTTGTGTCAGCTCAACATGGAGCTCTGTGCTTGATAAGTGCATGGGCCAGTTCCTGATTGCCATCTTCCATTTGATGGTTGTATTTAGCTGTACTACTAGCAAAGTTTGTTAAAGAAAACCTCATTTCTGATCCATGTACAAAAGTAATATTTTTCTGTGTTTTCTTTTTAAAAGTGCGTATTTCTGTGTGTGTATAGTTATTAAAAAAAAGCCAACCAACTTTTTTACAAGTAAGATACTGCTCTAATATGTATTAATAATACAGTATTTGATTAGTGTTCAGTTAGATTTAACCTTAGAATTTATAATGTTCCAGATCTTAGAGCATTCTGCTCGTTTAGCTAAATACGTTGGTTCAGACGTAGTCCTCTGTAAAGCTGCTTAATTTTCAACCTTTTTTTAAAAGATGAAAGTATTAATTACATTGTTTGATGTCATTGTTAAGCCACATTTTGAAATTACTGTTCACTGAAGTAAATAGATTATTATTGTGGTAATCAAGCATTTATGCTTTATTGTTTCATGTTCAGTAATTGGAGAAAAAAAGATTTTTCTAACATGATAGCCAGAAATTCAAACAAAACTTAGAACAGATGGTATTGCTGCATAGAGAGTATTGTAGACGGAAAAAGCTGGGTGAGAATTTGGTGTTTTTCTTCTGGTTATATTGCTCATGTGAGCTTTAATGACAAATAGATGAATTATGATAAAATTTGTATCTGGTTTAGATTAGAAGTATAGTATGTAATCTGAAATATCATTGCTCTTATTTATATTTTTAGTGTAGTTTATTGCTGTTTTTCAAGTCTTAAACATTCCTACTAATATTAATGTAACTGTCATGATAGTTCAATCTCATTAATTGTTTGATAGAATTTTATTATAGATATTAAACTGTATTCTCTTGAAGGTGCTGTGTGTCCTTTAATGAAAACAGGTGTCCATCATCTCAAACAAATCAACAGAGACAGCCTTGGTGTTTCAGGTAAATGATTGTGTTAATATGTATACATAAATCAATTGGCTAGCAGTGGATGTAATCATAGTCCAACTGAAACTGGCTTTAAAATGGAAAGGGTGGTACAGAATGCCACCCCTGTGCTCCTAAAGCTCTTCTTGTTTTTTTGGAAGGTGGGTTTAAAGTCAGAATGTGGCGTTCTCACAAAGTATTTGTTCGAATTCTGCAGCCACACTCATTTCCGTTGTTTTTCCCAAACATCCTTTATTCTTATCAGTTCCAATGATAAAAGGAAATAACAAATGCATTTCTCAGGTTACAAATGCATTTCTCAGGTTACAAAGTCATCTGTGGAGTGAATTTGCTCTGATAGTTTCTCTGTGGATAAAAAGAATACTGGAAGTTTCTCTGAATTTAAAGTACTGGTTTTCGAAATAGCTTGTCAGACTGTACTCCACAAAGTAACCAGTCATGCTAGAAGTCAGAATTTATGTATTTATCTTTTTTTAAATTCCATGAAATAAACTGAATCGTTGTATCATATGTCACAGGATTTGATCTGGCTGAAAGGTTTTCTTTGAGGCAAACGTCTTGTGGAGGTGAAAAAGTCTGTTTTAAACTGGGAAGCGCACCTCTCATCAGAGACACAAAGTAAGTAAGATACTACTTTCTTCTGAAGTTTTTAAAAGATAGAGCTTGGACTAAGTGCTACTAATGAACTGAAACACTGACCAGTGTGTCCAAAGGATGTCACAGACAAGCCACAGGATGTGGTTTTTTTTTCAGGCCTTTTCATCTGTAACATTTTTTTTTTTCCTTGGGGAAGCATTTTGGTTCAGGTGTGTTTTCCTTCTGGAATCTGGAAGTATCTAAGTAGAAAGTTAATTACAAATATTTTTTTTTTCAAGTTGTGGTTTTGATACTGAAAACTCTACTATTTGTACACAAATATTTCTAAAACAAAGGGAACAAAGAACTTTCATGGTATGACAAGAAGTGTTATGCTAATCTTCCCTCAGTGAAATTAGCTGTTCTCTCTCTCATTGCTGCTGGCAGGATTGAAAAGAGTCACCATTTCCTTAAATGCTCTATTTTATTCCTTTTTTTTTTTTTCCCCCTCAGTGGAATTGGCATCTTGCCTTTCAGCAGTGGCAGAATGGGGCATACTGAGTGTAGAGAGGTGAATCTAGGCAGCATCCTGTTCTGACACAGTGGGATTGAAGTCAGAGACTGAATGAAAAATCAAAAAGAAGGCGAAAGAGAGAGGCACAAGTTTGGACAGGGAAAAGGAAATGGCAAGAAGCAGTTAGGAATGAAGTCTCAAGTTCCCCATGCTCAGTAGAGAGAGAGAGAGAGAGAGAGAGAGAGAGAGAGAGAGAGAGGATCATCTCAGAGCTTCTTGGTTGAGATGTGCTCCTAGTCATGGGACTGTGGTTTCTGTACAGAATGTTCCTGCAATGACGAGGGAAGCAACTGTATTCATGTGTCTTCAGGTTGGGTATTCTCTGTTGCAAGAGGTCTGGCTCCAGCTTGCCAAGGAAAAAATACACCCAGGCCTCGGACTTCCCCTTTGCTTGGATCCTGGGCAGAGTAAAGAAGGGCTGTGGGTAGTGTGAGGCCAGGGGATAAGGAGAAGAGAGGAATCTGAGGAACCCAGACACAAAACAAAGGGACCTTTGGGAGAGGAGAGTAATTAAAGACATAGGCCCTAAATATTCTAGATTACTTGATGGATTTTAAGTTTTTCTGAGGTATTAGATATTATAAATGCTACATTTTTATGCTTGTGTAATCCTGCAAAGTTCAAGTAATCGCTGTCTTTTTAAAATACCTTGGACATTATCTGTTCAAGGAAAGAATCTAAGATAAAATTACTTGACACAGAGTGCTCCGTTTTTATGAGGGTCTTCATGATATTATCGAGATTGTATTTAAAAGAGGAACAGGTAAAATTAGGTACCACTCATATATGTCTTTACCAAATATATTTTGAAAGTTTGTCAGTAAGAAATCATGGGAGTTTTTTATTATTTTTTCAGATTCTTACAGTGTTTTATTTTGTGTTTTTTTTTTTTTTTTCCCCAATAGATGGGAATTTGATGGAAACAAGAGACTATAGCAGAGCAGAAAATCAAGGCAACAACAAAATTGTAGGGCAATTCTCCTTTAGGAATAGGAAGCTAAGTAATGCTTTCTGTGCAGTAAAATGCATATTGCAAGCTGATTTATATTATTCTAAAACTGTAAAAAAATCAATGGCAAAAATGGAATGAGAGGAGCTAGAAATTGGAATGGGTGAATTATTTAAAATTCATGTTACTCTGAGGGAAAATTCATGATTCAAAAGGACTGATTGCTAAGAATTCAGTGGTTTTGGAAGGGATCTGACAGGTGATGTTGAGCTTGAAAAACGCAAAGTTTTTTTCCTGGCTTTTATTAGTAGGTCTGAATACTAATGTCTGTGTTGTATTTTCTTCTTTTCAAAATGATTTATTAGTGACGTCAGTCAAAACAAGGAATTCAGATCATGGCTGTTAGCTGTGGCAAAGCCTGAACTCTTGGCAGCTGCAAAGAAAACACTTAAGAACATAATACTTTTTTTTTTTTAACTTTTTTTATGGAGTAAGATACAAATCTATCTTTTAAAAAATATGTTTTATCTATTCAGCTTTTTGGAGGGAGGATGACTCTTTGAGACAAGAATGGCTAGTTTTTCTTCATTTTCTGTGTAACTTGGGCAGGGGATAAGGAATTTCAGTTGAAGAGTAAACCTGGAAGGCAGCTGGCTTGGCTTTATTGGTCTTTTTGCTTCTCATTTCTCCCTACCTGTTTTCCTATGGGAATCCTCATTAAAGGAAAAACCTAAGGAGAAAAGCTTTCCAGTTTCCACTAAAAATATCTGTAGCTAATGGATGAAAACTTTAGCTGCGTGAAGCAACTGAGGTGATTATTAATAAAATTCTTAACAGTGCTAATGTATGACTATAGTCAGGCTGAAAATTACTGTCATGTTATTGATTCTAATAAGGTACAAGATAAGCTCTTCAATCAGCTTTCTGTGGAAGTAAGTAGTTCTTATGTTTATCTTCCTGAATAACAACAACAAAAAGTTAAAAGTATTTTGAATAACATTCAACCATTGCAGAATTTCCATTAAATTTTAGTTCTTCTTGCAATAGTCTTGCTCATGCAAAAATTTTCTTGCTCATGTTAAAAAAGCCTTTCTTCACAGAGAAGTGCATGTCATAATTAAAAGTATAATTTACTTTTTTTATTCAATATATTGCATATAGAATAGCTTTCTGTTGTTGAGGTAACACTTCAGAGAAGATTTTTAAAGGTGATTTGTTTAAAGTATTTTTGACACTTCTGAACTTATGAGTTGGTTTTTAAAAATAAGGGCAGAGGGCAGTCCGGAGCACCAAATCAGATTTTGATGTGGTAGTGTTACAATGAAGGATAGTCAGGAACTCGGATATCTGTCATCATAACCTTATAATTTACTTTATCCCAGTTATCCGTGTACAATGTCTTGTAATTATTTTTATTTAAACCTTCTCTTGCATTATGTCAGATTGTGTGGTTCAAGATTCCTTGTGTTATTAGATGCAGAGGCTTTTAGGCGCATTCTGCCACAGAAAATATTTAAGTAGACGTGGCGTGCAATAAGCAGCAGAACAGTGTTTGTTATCCATCCTGCAGGAAACTGAGAGTATCTGATTAAGCTGACTAGCAAGTATCAAGTAACCTGGCACATCTCCTCTTGCATTTCATTCATTCAGTCGTAGTGTGGGTAATAGAAAGCTATGCTGTGCCATTTTTCTTGTGTGATGCCATTTTGGTTTTTTCAATGGACCTGGAGTAGTGTTGCACCTATTTATATGTTGTAAATAATTTACAATGCAGTGTCAGCTTGCAAAATCAATTATGTCTATTTATGCAGGATTTTAGTTGTATCCCTTTATCTCTTTGTGTAGGAGTTCTGTATGTATTTTGTCGTGTGATAGGGGATGGATTGCTCTTCTTATGCTCCCTGTAAATGACTATTAAGTATTTACTCAATTCTAATAATATTTTCAGGATTAAAGACTGATTTTTAAATCAAATATTGTGAGTTACTTATTACTGTTCTTACATGGACACTAATAGAAGTTACTCCTTAGTAAAGTAGTATAACTGAGCCTTTGGATCCTTAAGAAATTCACAGTAAAATACAGTTTTGTGGACAATCTAATTATATAGTCATAATAGCAGTCATTGTATCATGTTTTAAAATTATTTCAATAAATACATTGAGTCATACCTTGTTCTCTAGAGTTTAGCACATACTGCCTATGCAGTGTAGTCTCATTTGGCATAGAGCTTCCTGACAAAAGAAGCACAGGGCTTTGTGCTGATAGCAACTCCTTTAGATCTGCCAGCAGTATTCAGTACTTGTACACATGAGGCCTTTTAGGCTAATCTTTGCTCTTTAGTTGCCTTAGAGTAAATAGCACTATGATGAAATAATGTCACTGTCCTCCTCTAAAGATGCATCAGATGTTAGTTGTTCATCATTCTCAGTTTTCTGTGTTGCTGGACCATTTTTTCTCTTCTGAACGCACCAATAAAGGAGATAGCAAGATGATTTCGGCTGAGTTTCAGAATGTTTTTGAAATGGATGTTCATGATTAGCAAATTTTAATGGCACAGTCATGGCTCTCTTATTTTGTGGTTTGCTTGGCTTGACAAACTGTATTAATTTACTGAGGAGTTTATCATAGCTGGCTGTTAAATGATCTCAGAGTTACAGCAGTTGGGGTTACTCTCACAACTGTTTTAGGAATTCTTCCCCTTTCGTTGCAAGATACTGCAGGAGAGCTTGGATTTTGACTGTATTTGGACTAATGAGCTCCATCAGCAGTGTTGTCACTGCTGCCAGAAGAGTTGTGGCTGTGGCTTGGGCCATATCTCAGAAAAAAAGTGTTTCACCTCCTTCTGATGTCTAGTTACTGGAGGCAGAATTACCGTTCCCACTTCTGTCAGCGTATTCCAGGCTAGAGCATTCATCCTGCTAAGATCAGAAATTGATGGTGAAACAATATTTATGTGGTTTCTTTTGGTTTAATGATAACCTTTTTTAATCACAAAAAAAAAAAAAAAACAAAAACCAACACATAGGGAATTGCGTTTCTTTGAGCTCTGCTGGCATCAAGCAAAGCAGTTTTTATGCTCACAATTAGGAGCCTTTTCATTCACACCCCAAAAGCATCTGTCTCTGGGTTTGCAACCATATACTTTGCTGTATGTTCCCTGGTTGTATCTTCTGAGACCTTTCTTCACCCAAGTAATAAACACTGAATTCCTTGCATATGTCTTCAGCTGTCAGTGAATGTCCACACGTGCATGATTTTTGATTAGTTTTGCATGGGGCATGGGTCTTGGATGGCAGAGTCAGGGTCAGCAGTCTTCTCAAAAAATGTTATTAAGAGATATATGCAGAAGTAGTACACCCATTTTCTAAATACACTCTAGAATGGATAGATGTGAAAATCACTAGCTTCACTTTTAGAGCACCTACTGAAAAATGACACCCCTGTTTGGAGACAGTATATACAGTTATGCCTATCAGCTTTTATCTACTAGACTTTAGTCTTAAAATATGAGATCTA